TATATGTAAGACTTTTATGGATGAGTAGCACTCAAGAATCAGAAAAATAGGCTTGGAAGATGAAATCATCCCCTTCTAAGCCATCCAAAAAATGTTCATCTAACTTACTCTGAAAGACTTCTAAAGATGGAGATACCACAGTATTTCTAGGTAATTTGTTCCAAAGCTTAGTAATACCTTCATAGTTATAAAGTTATTCTTAATATACCACCTAAATTTCCCTTGTGCAATATAAAACATTTACTTGTCCTATCCCCTGTGGCCACAGATACTAGTTTGTCTCCATCTTGAGTATAAATCACCTTTTGGATATTTGAAGAAGGTTATAAAATTCCTCCTCAGTCTCCTCTTTCTCCGAACAAAATAATCCCATTTGTTCTAAGCTTTCCTTTTGTTGTCTAGATCTCTAATATTGTTCTCTATTGGGCTCTAATTTTTCTACAATTTTCTTGAGGGTTGATGCCTCTAGATGGACCTACTATGCTAGATAATGCCTCGCCATTGCTTCAAGTGTCTTTATTAAAGTTGATAATGTGCCTTTGAGGTACCATGAGATACTGATACCATGGAAAGATTATTTTTGTTAACTGTTCCACTAGCCATAGAAATATACCACATTAATTGTGAGTTTAAACTCACTTTTGTTATAAAAATAGATTTACAACAACATGAAAACTAATGTAGTTTTGCAGAATTTATGACCAGAAGGGACTTCTGGATAATCTAGTCTGACCTCCTGTACCCAGTTAAATTGCACTCAGTTTCCCCTTTATCAAGTCCCATAACTTGTACTTGATTAAACCATATTTTCCAGGAAGTACTTCAGTCTTGATCTGAGGATATTAAGAGATGTATAATTCACAATTTCCTTCGATATAATTTATTCCATTAAATAATCTCCTTCGCTGTTAATAATGGTCTGTTTTTTCATCATAATTTGTTTTGCTTCAGGTTCCAACCATTTGTTCTTCTAAGCCTTTCTGCACTAGAATGCTCTTTAGTACAAAATATTTTGTCCCTGGGAAGATGCTTTTACAATGAGCCTGTTTATCAATTTAAGACCACATTAATATTTCCATAATCCCATAGTGTGTCCATTATTTTGCTCTGGACTGATACCAAGCTAAAAAAGCCTATGCTTAGGTCATTCTGCGTGCCTTCCTTGAGTCAGGCCTGGGCATTGGCCATACTTCCAGTACTAAGTAATTTCCATAGTACACTGAATCTTATTACATTGCCAATTCTTTTAGGACTGGAACAGAAATTACTGTCGTTCTCATATGATACAACTACATCTTTTTTTCTTTTTAAAGCATATCTTTTACTTCATCAGTGAAATGGGCATTACACAGTTCTATTGTTTTTTTGTAATTTGTCTCTTTAGTTAATTGCTAAACCCCCAACTTTTATTTACATTTTTATTCTTTATTTTGCTTTCTCAGTTGTCTTCACTTACAATCATTCCTTGTAAAACAACAAAATTATGTGCATATACAATTTTTTGTTCAGACTTGTCTGTTTGACCACTTCCAATGTAGCTAAGTCATGATCATAGTGCCTTTGGTCAATTACCAGTGCTCAGTTTAGGGCTTTTGCATATTTTAATGAGATATAAAATAAAATTGCCTTTTGTTGGGTGCAATATTTCTTTTGCCTTACCATCTGTAACATATAGAAAACTAAGGATGTTTTATCACTAATTGTACAGAACCATCTACTGTATGTCTCCAAACTGAACTTTCATGTTGCACTTGTTGATTATTGTTTATTTCATTATCAACTTGTTGTTTAAGGGATTTACCAGCAGGGGAAGGATGAGTTAAGGAAAATAAAGGTTGAAGGTCTTAGGAATGAGAGAACTTTGGATAGGAAAATCTTGAGAAATGGAAATTTACCCACTGAAAACCCAGATGTGAATAACAGTTCATTAATCCTCCAAATGTCAGCTAAGAATTTATTTTACTTTTGAAGCAATTATAATTTGAAAAGGAATTCCTCTTGGGAATGCTGGGCCCAATTTAGATTGTTAGGAATTGTTGTTAATAGGAGTTTGTACCTGCTGATACCGGAGCAAAACATAGCTTGCTACTTTTTTCTTGTTCAGTCCTGTCTACATCCCTATTTTGATGTCTAACTGCAAGTTGATTTGCATTTTTAATATCCACGTAGCCGAAGTCTAATGTTTTACAATATCACAATAGGTTCTGTGTGTATTTCACATATTTTTACCAGAATAGGAATGTCTTGTTAATTGTACCTAGATTTGTTCATAAAAGGAATTGGAACTAGGGCACGCATAACGGAGGGCCCTTTATTCTGGGATTCGTATCCCTACTAAGTTGTTTTACAGAAACTGTTGACATCTTGGTTCATTGAATGGCAACCATCTTTGCAGGCTTTTCTAGGAGGGCTGAGTATCTGCGGCAGATTCCAGGGGCAGGAGTTTAATCTTTTATTGGGAAACAGTATTTATTACTTACTTGAAATATGATACTACAATAGAAAACAACCTGGGATTTGTTTCTATTTTGTTAGGTACTGCACAGGCAAAATAATAAAGAGTATGCCCAAGATTTTTCAGTCTAATTACAGTAGGTGTAACAGGGTGGTCTGTCCCCGTAAGAGGAGGCAGCTATCCTGGCCGAGGTGGTACAGCTGTGTGAAGTCTTATGAGGGAATGGCTCACTAAGATGGAAAATCCCAGTAGGCAGAACCAGAGGGAGGTGCAGAGGAGAAGCACCAGGGACTGGAGACTTCTTGGCTACAAGGAGAACAAGCCTGGGATTTGAAGGCTGAAGCCACAGCAGACCCCTCTGTGTCAAGGACAATAAGGATTTTCATTTACTTGCTTAATTTTGTTAAATGACTGTATATTACTGTATCACACTGACACGCTCCAGGCAGTAAAGGCCAATGGGTTTAAAGACTGCATGTTACTGAGGCTTGCTGAGAGATGCTCAGGGAAGGGGAAAAGCCAAAGTGAAAAGGTGGTGCAGCAGCAACCCGCTACAGCATGGATGTAACCAGAAGACCTAGTCTGGATTTCTTTTTATAGGTTCATTACATGGAGTGTAATGTAAATCAGTATCTTAACACAAAATATCCCTATACTCTGAAAGACAGAGAAAGAGCATAAGACAAATATACCTGACTATTTTTGTGTGATGGATTGATCCCTTCTAAATTACTGGAAAAAATGAGAGAAATCTAAATTTGCAAGGTAAATCACAGGAGGATTCTTGGAAGAATGACACCTTCTTTAGAGTGTTTCTTATGACTACAAAAACCACCATATCTGCATGCAAGCCACATGTACCATTTCCCCCAAAATTAGGCATCCAAAACTGAGGTGAGTTTTTGGTTTGTTTTGTTTTGTTTTAAGTGAGGAACCTGATTTCCATGCTGGAATAGAGACTTGAGGATGCTGGAAATGACTGCTGGGGCTGGCTCCATTCTGGGCTCTGGCTGCATACAGAAGTGACAGTCTCTACTCTTCAGTCAGCTCATTCTCTCTTTGCAAGCTCTGCAGTCAAAATTTTAACCCTGACAGAGCCACCACTGAATTGGCAGCAGCTTTAGTCTGAAGAATAGACTTTTCCTATCCTGCATGCAGCTTGCATTCAGCAGTGGCTCCAGCGAAAAATCTTTTTTTTCTTCATTCTGCCTTCCCAGAACAAGATCCTTGTTTTCTGAGAAGGGGAGGGGGGTGATGTACAAAACAGTATGTATATTGTATATCAAGGGAACAGAGCAAAGTAGTGTTTGAAAATATAATTTACATCTGTGCAATTGTCACTGACACATGCAGCTGGAGGGTTTTACACAAAATTAATTATACTCAACAAGTGTGTCAAATACTGGGAAAGTGGGGAGTGATGTAATATAGTATTAGAGGTACAGTCCGAGTCAGTGTCTTTACTGATGATCTAGGAAAAGAGATGGCTAGTATGCTTGTTACTTTGATAAATAACATGGAACTGAGGTAGCTTACCTTCATTGAGTACTGAAAAATATTAATAAAATGTCACCTAATACATTTGGAAATGGAATATATGAAAGTAAAATGCCACTTGAGTAATCTTAGTTGTCTTTGCATATATGCTGTGTAGGTGGTATTAACTAGTAAAGGGTGTTTTTTGTAGAAGGGGGACTCCAGGAAATGAGTACTTCCAGAAGACAGAAGGGGTGAAAGCAGACAATATGATGATGTTACGCTATGTTGTGGCTCTGCATATAGGTCTAAGCTATTTGGCACGCCACGTCACAGAGCCAAGAGGTGATTGCTTCTTTTCAGATAGATTGAACTAGAGCATTGCATTAATTTTTGGAGACCACAGTATCCATAGACAACTAACCAAAATGATTCAGTGACTGATAGGACTGAATTATAAACAACAGTTCAAACAAACAAAAAAACCATCCTAAGTATGATTAATGTGACTAAATACCAAGATTGATGGGCAAGGGCTTAGTAACTATAATAAGTATTTAGAAGGATTTCACAAACAGAATTTTAAGGGCAAAACAATCCGTGTTTAGAAATGATAGCATGAAATTAAGGTAAGGTAATTTTAGGTAAAATTTCACAAAAATGTCTGCAGGACAGCAATGAATGCAGAAATGCCAGGAGACCCCTTGCTTGTGATTTTAAAATGGGTTTGATAACAATAGTAGAAGAGATGCTGTAGTGTACATCATTTTGTGGCAGCTGTTAGATGAAGACGGGAAGTGTCTGATCCTATTTTCTGTCATGAAAGGCAGTTACAAAACTCCATTGACTTTCATGGTATCACAAACAGGTTCTAGATTTCTATTGCGAATGGGTCTTGTTCTCCACTACTTTACAGTGATTGTATGTAAGGATAACTCCACTGATTTTTCAGCTGTATTAAATTTAGCATTATTTGAATTAATTTAGTGTTTATCTTGGTTACAAATGTACTTAATTGTAACAGTGTAGCACCTTTTTATAAATTAATAATATCCACTTTTTTTTACAGCATACCATCACAGACAAGATTCGTGACATAACAGTGGTATAAACATGAAGAAACACGCAGCATTTTCCCCATGAATTTCAAGTATGGATAAACTGAAGTCTGTTGTGAAATGAAGTATATTTTTTGTTCTTTATCTATTTCACTTAGAGCCGAATCTGTATTTTTTTTATTTTAAGTAGCAATCCTTTCTATTAATTTATAATACAAAATTTGAAATGTGACTGTTTAAAATAGTTCTGAGTTTTAAAAATCTATGAAGAACATTTTGACAAAATAACAATCAATGAAGTTTACACAAATCAACTCAGGTAGCATAAATGTATTTTGGTGCTTAAGTTAAATTCACTTGCAGTTTTTTTAAGTTGAGAGCGAGCCTGAAGACTGGACTTTTTATAGGAAATGTGCCTTCTATTTAAATATTGTGATGATACTCTTAATTCTGTTATAAATATAAACCTTTTATAAACATGCTTCTTTGAAATTAATTTTGCTACTTTGTATTCCAAGCCTGTAAATTTTGTCGTACAGTTTTAATAAAACATTGCATTATGATGGATACAGCACAAGTATGTTATAGCATAATCTGCTAATCTAGTTGTGCCATAAGCGGCATCAATTCATCGCACTATCTTTACTTCTGGAGTCTTAATTGTACAGGAAAAGGAGCAAGGGATGTGAAAGTAATGATGAAATGATAAAGCTGAAAAAGATTTATCTAAAATAGGAGAAAACTAGACCAATAAGTTTTAGACAATGCTGACAGCAAAGGCACTCACAATCGGGTTCAACCAGCTGTGAGAGGCTGACCTTGCGACAGGTGGATCTGGTGAACAGTACAGAATCTGACAGAGACTGTGGTTTGGAGGAAAAAGGCCTGGTGAAGGAGGCACTTCCAAGTGCCTCCCCATAGTTGCCAAACATTTTAGAGGTGCCCTGTCCCAATCACAACTACTGTAATTTGGAGCATCTTGAAGGACCAAGCTAATATGGAGTGACCAAGTATCAAGGGAGCACAACTGAAATGTAAATCCATCTGTTTACCCACATATTCCTGAGGTACACTGTGTATTTATGTACGTGTGCACTCGTATACTCTGCTGAGCTGTAGACTTACTATATCGCTTTGAGGTAACGAATTAGATAGCCTAAAGTCCAACTGGCAAGAAACTAGTCAAAGTAAAAATCAGATAAGCATGATAGTTATCTAGTGGGGAAGCAGAAATTGTCTTTTTAGTAATATATCTCAAAGATTTCTTTAGATTAGGAATAAACCTTTTCTTTAAAATTCCTTTGGTCAGAATGCAAAGTAATCAAGATTAGTAAGTACTTAATTTATATTTGCCATTAACTAATCATTGCTTAACTACTGAAAAACATTGTAAGAGCTGTTGTCCCAAATTGCAGTGTCCTTTAAAAACTGAAGTGTTGCAAAAGATAAAGCTTTACTTCAAGACAAATGTGCATAACTTGACTGAGCACAGGGAGTTCTTGACAGAACTATGAGAAAACAATTATAGTCTGTGCTTAGTTCAGATTTCAAACTAGGAGAAAGCAAAGGCTAACATTTAAAATAAGATGTGCATATTTTGCAAAGGGAGAACATAAGATTCACCATTTACTGGGTCAGACCATAGATCCATCTTGCCCAGTATCCTATGTCACAGGGGTGGAGTAGATGCTGAAAAGGAGAGTAAAAGGTGTAACCAGAGCTTTTTCCCTCTGTTCCTCTTACTTGCAGCCTCCAGCCTTTAATGTCCATGAAGTTCTCATTCAGAGGCTGTATCCTTAACTCCTATGCTCAATAGCTACTGATACCCCTTTTCTCCAAGAATTTGTCCAATCTCTCTTTTTTTTCCTGAATCTGGCTAAACCGTCAGCTTCCACAACATCTGATGGCAGTGAGTTCCACACTTTAATTATATTCTGTGTGCAAAAGAACTTCCTTTGGTTAGTTTTATACTTGCTATCTAATAGTTTAATTTCCTCACCCCTAGTTCTTGTATTGCATGAGAGAGTAAATAATAAATCCCTATTAACTTTCTTTTTGCCATTTAGTATTTTGTAAACCTTTATTGTGTGTCCCCCACCAGCATCACTTTTCTAAACTAAATATGCCTGTCTTCTTTAGTCTCTCCTCATATGGAACTTCCTCCATATCACTAATCATTCTTGTTGCTCTTCTCTATACCACCCTTGGTTCTTCGGTATCCTTTTTGAGATGTGGGGATCAGAGCTGGGCACAGTATTCAACACGTGGATGGACACACCATGGATTTATAAAGAGGCATAATGATACTTTCCGTTTTGTTCACAATTCCCTCCTTAGTAATTCCTAACATTTTGTTTGCCTTTTTGATGGCTGCTGAGCACTGAGCTGACGATTTTAGCAAACTGTCCATAATGACTCCCGGATCTCTTTCCTGTGTGATAACACCTAATGTAGAGCCCATCAAAGTGGTAGGCATAGTTTAGGTTATTTTTTCCCAGATGCATCACTTTACAGTTATCTACACTGAGTTTCATCTGCCATTTAGTTGCCTATTCTCTGTCATGCCAGATCCTTCTGTAGTTTCTCACAGTCCACCTTGATTTATACAACTTGAAATAATTTTGTCATCTGCAAATTTGGTCACCTTGCTACTCACCTCCTTTTCCAGATCATTTATTTAAACAGCACTGGTCCCAACACGCATCCTTGGGGGACCCTGCTGTTTACTTCTTTTCATCCTGAAAACAGACCATTTATATGCTTTGTTTTCTCTTTGAGCCATTTTCTAATCCACAAATTGACATTCCCTTTAATCCCATGACCATCTAATTTAGTTAAGAGGCTCTGATGGGGGTCCTTGTCGAATGCTTTTTGGAAATCCAAATATACAGTGTCAGTTGGATCACCCCAATCCACCTGCTTATTGACACCCTTAAAAGCTGTGGTAAGTTGGTAAGGAATGACTTCTCCGACAGAGTCGGTTTGATTCCTCCCCAGCAAGTCAAGTTCATCCATGTGCTAAGCATTTTTTGATATATTGTTTCTACCCATGAACTCATTGAAGCTCTGTGTGGGGGCCTGTGTAGTCCTCTCAGCACTTTAAGGGCCTAAATTATTCATATATTAAAATTGTGGCTGAATCAAATGATATCAAGGAAACGCAATGGAGTTATGAATAATTAATTTACAACTTGATCTCTCATAACCTGGAAGGCAAAACTGAAAAGCCTAAATCTGAACATTAGCTTTTGTTAAACGGGTAGGCATGCCAGATTAATGTGGTCCCAGGGAGCCAAATTTGCGTTAGGAATGCCAGATTTTTAACATAAATATCTGAGATTTTGGATGTGCTCTATATACTGAGTGGGCTTGGTACCAAGCAGCAGCTGTTGACTGAAAAATATATTGTGTTAAGAACATTAAGTCATTTGTTCTGAACTGATTGCTTACCCCATATAGTGCAGAATGTACTGATGTTGCATAATCTGACAGAGTTGAACACAGTCTGAGTTAATTAGCACTGAAGTATAAAAGTGCTTACAAAACATGCTCCATGCACACTGTACATTGTAATTTACTCTACATTAAGTCAAATCTTGCTTCATTAATTACAATAATTACAGTAGTCAACCCTTCTAGACAAAGGACGGACAATGGAATTATTCTGTTTACTGCACTAGCGCCATGTTCTGCTGTCACTTACCACCTTTGAGTCTCCTGCTTGCCAGTGTTATTTCCCTTTGCTCTCAAGCTTGGGATACAGTTTGAAGCAACAAGGATATTTGTTGCCCACAGGCAAGACTCATTGTGGGCTTCTCTTGTATCCTCTGCCACTCTCATATTTGTGCCTCTATGCAGACCTCTACACTTGGAGATCCCTCCTTTATCTTTGGACCAGTGATTCTTACCCTTCATAGACTAAAAATATCCTTCAGAAAATACCAGCTCTTTGCTTTCCCTTGATTTTTTTTTTTTTTTTTTTTTTTTTTTT